AAGGCTTGAGCAGTCAGGGTTTGGAGTAGGTGGAGACAGGGTGAGAACAGCAGAGGTGTTATGCAGGATATGACTTCCACAGAGCCTCGTGAATGACAAGGAGTGAAATGGTGGAAACCATAACCCAGTGCAAGCTAAGGAAGGGGCAGGTTGTTTTTACTTAGAGCAGTCCTGACTCTGTTACTGAGAAATGATGCACTAGGCAAACATGCCCATGTGGTGGGCAGGGTGCTGGGGCTCTCTGCTCTCAGGGACCCTCTAGAGTTTGGGAGTCTTAGGTGTTGGTTCAAAGTCAGTGTTACTGCACACAACTCCAGTCAAGCAGATCACTACTCTTGGGCTCATCCATTTATTTTGCTGATCACGCTTTTTGGCTGCCTATTAAATGTACTCCTGCAGCTTATATTTTATATATTTTTTGATGTGAGTCAGTGGAAGAGGGAAGACTCACACATAAAGAAGGTGGCCTCCAGATATAGCAGGGGTGGGGAAGCTTTGTTTCTGCCAGGGACCATTTGAATATTTATAGCATTATTCATGAGCCATACAAAATTATCACCTTAAAACAGCCTCCTGTAGACTTACTATATTTTGAGTCCTGCCTGTGTTTGCCTTGGCAGGGCCTGTGAACTGAATGTTCCCCACCCCTGAGATAGAGATATGGGCTGTAAAAAAAAAACACCATGGATAGACATTGGAAACTGAGGAACAACACTGTTTGGAATGCTTACAAAACATATCACAATGCCAGGTTAAAGTCCTGGCTCCTCGGCTTCTGAATCTGAGATGTACACCCTGTGAGGCAGCAGGTGGCAACTTGAGTGCCTGGGTTCTTGCCACCCACACAGAAGACTTGTGATTGAGTTCCAGACTCCTTACTTCAGCCTGGCCCAGTACTGGCTGATGTGAGCATTTTAGAGTTAAAGTGCAGATAGGAGATCTCTCTCTGACTCTCTCTGTTTCAAATTAGTAAATTAAAACCAGAATTGTGAACCCTGAGTTAGTGGATTAGTGGGTGGAGTGACTTTGACTATTTTAGTCAGGGGAGGTCTGGGGAGGAAGCAACCCTAGAAGTTTCGGACAGGGGTCTGTGGAGGGGCTTGTTTGGTCCCCAGCCCTGTTTAGTCACATCTCTCACTTGGATTAGGATTCATTTCTTGACAGTCTCCCTGCTTTACTTCTTGTACTGCTGTTGATGACATCATGTTTGGAACAAGCCTTTCAAAAATATGAGGGTGGCCCTGTCTTCAGAACCCTCCATGGCCTTCCTATAGACCAAGGAGGAGAAGCCCAAGTGTTTCCCTGGCAGTCAGGCAGCCCAGCAGCCCGGCTCCCATTGCCCTTTTTGTTGTGTGACTACAACCTCTGCTCCCTTCCTGCTTACTCCCTCTGTGCCAGCCACACCTGCCTTTTTGCTACTACCTAAACCTGCCAAACTCGCCATGATCTTGTGGTCAAGTACTGCCTAGCTTATTCTTCCCTTTGGGTGTGTTAGCTCATGTGGCAATGATTCCTGAGAATATTTGCAGATTTGAGAGTTTGCTGGGAGGACTCTAAAGATCAGGCTTAGAGTCGTGCTCAGAGCTATGATCTGTTACAATGAGAAAATATCAGCCAAGGGCCTAGGATGTGGGGTGAAGTCTGGAGGCAGCCAGACATCACTTCAAGAGTCCCTTCCTGGTGGGGCTACACAGGTCACGCTTCCTTCTACCCTCGATGGGTTGTGATTGCACATGGGAGGGCTGTCTGCCAAGGAAGCACAGCAGAGGTTCATTGCCCAGAGTTGGAAATGGGCTGGGAACTAGTCAGGTTGGCAGCCTTTGCCTGGTACATAGCCAAATCTCAGCCTCTCAGGAGAGCAGGTGTTTGCACAGCAGTCTGGGCATGGCAACCTGCTGTTAGTGGAGAATGGTCAGAATTCATTGGAAAGCTATGCCAGTGGCCTTTCCCAGGGACAGCTGTCTCAGGCCCACTGGGTACAGCTCAGGTGGCAGCCTCACAGGAAACCCTCACCTTCTCACCCAATTTAGAATAGCAACCTGCTGTTGAAAATGGTGCCCCCCACTCTCCCTCCTTTAACATTTTGTCTCATCTGTCACCACCTAAGACACTGGATCCTCTACATTCTTGCTGTGCTTCACAAGGGCCGAGATTTTTGTCTGCTTTGTTTACGGGAGAATGCACAACACCCAGGACCATTAGAGATTAATATCTAGTGGATGAAGGAGTGTATGTGTGCTGAGGAACAGAAAAGCATGGCACATATGACTAGGAGACAGCTGATGCAGAAAGAGGTGGGAAATGCCTACTGACCTCACGGCAGAGCACACAGGGACTTTGTGGGCCTTGAGAAGGGGGTTTAAAGAAGCATGTTGCTTTAAATAAATTTCTTTAAAGGTTTATTTATTTATTTAAAAGGTAGAATTGTAGAGAGAAAGAAAATCTTCTGTCCACTGGCTCAGTCTCCAGATGGCTGCAACAGCCTGGGACCAAAGCCAGAAATCCAAATGGAACTCTGTCTGGTAGCCTGCCTGGGTGACAAAGGGCCCAAGCATTTGGAACACCTTCTGTTGTTTTCTCAAGCACATCAGCAGGGAGCTGGATGGGAAATGGAGCACCTGGGACTTGAACTAGAGCTCTACTATGGAATGCTGGCACCACAGACTGCAATTTTACATGCTGTACCACAGCTGCAGTCCCTAAAATAAACTTCTTAAAAATGTATTAGACAGGGCCTGGCGGCATGGCCTAGCGGCTAAAGTCCTTACCTTGAACGCACTGGGATCCCATATGGGCACCGGTTCTAATCCCAGCAGCTCCACTTCCCATCCAGCTTCCTGCTTGTGGCCTTGGAAAACAGTTGAGGACGGCCCAGAGCATAGAGATCCTGCACCCTTGTGGGAGACGTGGAAGAGGTTCCTGGTTCCTGGCTTCGGATCGGCGCAGCACCGGCCATTGTGGTCACTTGGGGAGTGAATCATCTCTCCTCCTCTCTGTATATGTAACTTTGTAATAAAAAAATAAATAAATATTTTTAAAAAATGTATTAGACAGAGCCCAGTCCAAATGGCTCAATGACTAAATCTTCACCATAAAAGTGCCAGGATCCCGTATGGGTGCTGGTTTATGTGCTAGCTGCTCCACTTCCCATCCAGCTCTCTGCTTATGGCCCGGGAAAGTGGTAGAGGATGGCCCAAAACCTTGGGACCCTGCACCCACGTGGGAAACCTGGAAGAGGTTCCTGGCTTCAGATCAATTCAGCTCCCACCATTGTGGCCACTTGGGGAGTGAACCAGTAGTTGGAAGGTCTTTTTGTCTCTCCTCTTTGTAAATCTGCCTTTCCAATAAAAAAGAATGTAGTAGATATACAAGTTGTGCACATTTATGGGATATTGTGTGATATTTCATATGTATATAATGCCATCAGGGTAAATATATTTATCCTTTCAAGCATTTAACATTTCTTCACAGTGAAAACATTCAAAAGTCCAATCTCCTACTTTTTTTAATAGGGAAATGTACAATAAACTAAACTTATCTTTTTCCTATCATCAAACAGGCTGCAGACTTTTTATTTATACCTAGTTATCATCTGTAGTCCTCGAACATCCTTTCCTGATCAATCCTTCCACTTCCTCCTCCCTTCCACCATTACGCTTTTGTAACTTCCATGAGATCAATGGCTTTTTGTAACTCCTTCTTTGAGTGAAATAATACATTTGTCTCTGTGCTTGTCTTATTTCACTTAACATGACCTCCAATTCCATTCAGATTGTGACAAATGCCAAGAATGTATTCTTTATGTGGCTGAATAATATTCTGTATGTATAGATACTACATTTTCTTTTTATTAATCAGTCGATGACTGCTTAAGTTGTTTCCATTTTCTGGTTTGTGTGAATAGTGCTACAGCAAACATAGGAAGACAGATGTCTGTTCACTGATGGATTTCATTCCTTTGCGATACATGTTCAGATGTGGGATTGCTGGATCATACAGTAGTTCTAGTTTTACTTTTTGAGGAACCTCATATTGCTGTTTTCCATAATAGCTGAACCAATTTATACTCACACCAAAAGTGTAGAAGAGTTCCCTTTTCTTTGCATTCTCACCAACACTTGTGTGTTTTTAGGGTTTTTTTGTTTTTTGTGGTTTTTTTGTTTGTTTGTTTGTTTGTTTTTATGAATCAGTGTTACATAAATCTGATTCATAGTTTTCCTTGTAGAGATCTTTCACCCTTTTGGCTAGGTTTATTCCAAGGCATTCTTTTTCATAGTTGTTGGAAAGTGGATTGCTTTTCCAGATTGTTCACTTTTGGTGTGTTACAATGCTGTTGATTTTTGTTCATTGACTTTGCTGAGTTTATTAGTCCTTGACAGCCTTTGGTATAGTCTCTTGGGATTGTGTCATCTGCCAACAGTAACAATTGGACTCCTTCCTTTCTCACTTGAATGCCCTTTATTTCTCTTGCCCAGTGCTTGAGAAGCATGACTGAAGTGTCATGGTCACCACGGAGTGGCCCAAACCAGATCCTTACCAGTTTCTCAACTTCAACTCATGCTCTGATCTTCCCAGAATCATGTCTCCCTCCTTCTCCTTCTCATACTTATTAATAGGGAATTGGGGATCTCTTGTGATGTGCATTGCAATGCCCTGTGTTGTTTTGCCCTTGAGCTTATCATAGCTGCATTGATTTCATGAGTTGTATACTTAGTATCTGATTTCTCCATTAAACTGAAAATTCCTGGCTTGCTAACACAATATCCTCACTGTCTAGCCCTGAACTAAAAAAATATTTCAAGAAAGATGGGCTACTCTTTGAATTTTGGATGACTGTGGACTGGGTTAGGCTGCTTGGGAATTTGAACCCACTGCAGAATTTTCTCTGGTTTCCCCAGTCTGCAGCCAGGGTCACCTTCTTTAGTATGCCTTATGCCAGTCAGTTGTCAGTGTCGTATGCCATGATTTCTAATACTTGGCTGTGGATGTTCACATTGCAGGAATCCATGGAAAAGGCCCAGCTGCTTGCATTGGTTGGGGACCAGCTCATCCAAAATCACCATTATGCAGTGGACATCATCAGGCCCAGGTGTGTGGAGCTCAGGCACCTGTGTGATGACTTCATCAACGAAAACAAGAAAAAATATGACATTTTAGGAAAGTCTTTGGAGTTGCATAGACAGCTAGACAAGGTGAGCAAGACAAAGTCCTGAACATAAATGCAAGACTTTCTGTCAGATGGTTTGAACCCTACCTGTTCTCCCTGCTTTGCATTATGCCTGAGAGCATCATGTACCTTATGTAGAAAAAGAAAAGCCCTCAAGACACATTGCAAAGCTGTCCCAGGCCTAGACAGAGCTCTGATAGCTCTGTAGGTAAAGAGTGTCTAGCCATCCTACCACATGCCATGCAATGAGCAGAAGCCCATTTTTCTCTGTGTGGAACCTGACTTAAAAGAATACATTTGAGCCCAGCTCTGTAAAGATGTCTTGATTATTCTTGTGTGTCTTTAGAACCAATCACTATTTGCAAAGCATTTTCCTCACACAAAGGCTGTTTACTGAGCACCTGATTCTGTTCTTATCAGTACACAAGCATGTCTTCTATTCAGTTCTCTAGACAGTGTATGAGGAAAGTATTATGGCTTTGCTGTATAGAGGCACTAGCTGTGGTTAAGCCAATGGCTCTCAAAATTTAACATCAGAGAATCACCCAATGAATGAGTTGGAATCACAGACTGCTTGGTGTACCAACCTTGGGACTTGGATTCAGTAGGTATGCCACATATTTTAGACAAGTGCTGAAGTCCTTCTGGTCCAGGTACAGTAAGTGATACAGGGACAATGCTGAGAAACCTCAGGATGAGTGATTTCTCAAGGCCACACATGCTATTATACAGGAGAAGCCAAATTTGAAATCAGGACTGCCAGACTGCAACCCCAGGCTTCTTAGGCTGGACATCAAGGTTACGTGCACAGGGGTTCACAGGGAGAGGGATTTGTAGACCCTGGTGCCCTTTACAGGAGCACAGTCAGGAGTGTGAGTCAGTCCGAGCACTGCCTTCTGGAGCCTTCCCTGTCAGCTGTTCCCAGGCACATGTGACTGATGGTCATGAGTCGGCATACTGCATTCCCACAGCTGTTTCTCTCCCATGGCTGGGGGCACCCACTCGGGCTGTTTACATTATTCCATTGCCAAAGGGATTTTAGTGTCAGTGAAGTACAGTTGTTCCAGAAGCAAGGGGCTTAGAAGGGGCTGGTGTGTGCTCAGCTCACTGCAGGGTCAGTAGCTGTTTTCCTAACTACATTTCTGCCCCAGAGATAATAGCGTCTGTCTGTCTGTCTGTCTGTCTGTCTGTCTCTCTCTCTCACACACACACAGAAAGAAAGAGAAAGCAGTTAACTATTGAGGTTCTGCAGAACTAGCTCAGTGTTTTCTGTCAATCTTACACTATCCATTTAGAGATTAACACGTTAAGATGTTCTCTCCATTGTTTTTCTTCTGTGTGCTATTTTGAATCATTCCTGCAGTCACTCAGTGAATGGAAATGCAGATGTACACAAATATTCAGACAGCCTCAGACCTACTGACTTTTTCTTCAAGCACCTCAGTGTATTTCAAAAGACCAAAGAAAAGAATGTTTTTTTAATCCTTAGACTTCATCAACTATCTGATTTTCTCCTAGCAGCCATAGAACTTCACCAGTGTCGTTCTGAGTTACAAGAATCATGTTTTTGTGTTCTTAGGTGTTTTTTAGGAAAAACTAATAGCAATAAATAGAAATTTGAGTTACTGAAGAACCCAAAGATGGAACTGGTGTTTTTGTTAAAAAGAAACATTCCCTTTACCAGGAAAGCATGTAGAAGCACGTAGGGGCTAGGTCTCATGCCTCATTTATTGCCTTGTGCTCTCCCATCTAATTAAGATACAAGCCAGGTGGCCTAGAAGGTAAACCCAAAAAGCCATTGATTGCCTTTCTTTTTGTTTAGACACATTAGAAATACTGGGCTCTCCTCTCCCAGAGAAGCAGCAGTTCCTGCTAGTGGGAAAGATAAGAAAGCATATGTGATTTATTTTAATAACAGGGTGACTTCCCTGAGAAGTGAACAGATGTAAAATCCATTTGGGCTATCCACCTTAGGGTTTTACTTACAGTGGTTAAACCATGGAACTCTGTGCTGTCCCCTAACAATTTCCTGTGATTGCAGAATCCTTATAGTTCCAATGTGAATTCAAGCCTTCTAAGGATTGTAGTGGCTCTGAGTTGTGGTCAGCTAACTGCATTGGGTATTGTGTTTCTTTTCTAAAGGTCAGCCAGTGGTGTGAAGCAGGCATCTTTCTCTTGGCTTCCCAAGCTGTGGACAAGTGCCAGTCTCGAGAGGGGGTTGACATTGCATTGAACGACATTGAGACATTCCTGAGTACTGCCAAGGAGTGCTGGTTGCTAAACCCTAAGGAATTTTACAACCAATTTGAGCTGATACTCACCCCTGATGTAAAGGTAATGTTTCTGACTTATTTTGATGCTGTGCTTGGAAAGGAGCTGGGGAGGAGGATTTCGCCTATAGCATGCACTAAGCAGCCTGTACTGAGGGAGCTAGGCTTTTTTTTTTTTTTTAAGATTTATTTTATTTTTATTTGAAAGGCAGAGTTACAGAGAGAAGGACAGACACAGAGAGAAAGAGAGATCTTCCATCCACTGGTTCACTCCTCAAATGACTGCAGTGGCCGGAGCTGAACCAATCTGAAGCTAGGAGCCAAGAGCTTCTTCTGAGTTTCTCCACATGGGTGCTAGAGCTCAAGAAATTTGGACTAGTTTCTACTGCTTTCTCAGGCCATAAGCAGAGAGCTGGATTGGAAGTGGAACAGCTGGGACAGGAACTGGCCCCATATGGGATGGCAGTGCTATGGTCAGAGCCTTAGCCTACTATGCCATGGGCTGGCCCCTAAGCTAAGCTTTTTTTTTTTTTTTAGGTTTAGTTATTCATTTGAAAAGTAGAGTGACAGCAGGGAGGAAGAAATGGGAGGAGAAAAAGAGAGATCTTCCATCCACTAACTCATTCCAAAAATGGTCATAACAGCTGAATCTGGACTGGGCCGGAACTAGGAGCCAGAAACTACATCCAGGTCTCCCCAGTGAGTGTCAGGGACATAAGCACTTGGGTGATTTTATGCTGCTTTCCCAGGCACACTAGCAGGAAGCTGGATTAGAAGCAGATCAGCTGGAACTCAAACTGATATGCAATGCCAATGTGAGGTGACCTTACAGAGTCCTGGTCTGAACACCCTGGTGAAGTAACCCTCCCTATTCTGAATCAAATACCATCTTTAGACATTCATTTCTCTACAAATACTTGTGAACATGTCTGGTGCATCATATACTGTGCTGAGTGCCAAGGCACTAGGATGAGCAGTAGTAGGTAAGTTTCTGTCCCTCATGGAGCTTACAGCTAGTGGGACAGGCTGACATTAACCAAATAATCACACCAAAATGCGACAGGCTGAGATAAGTGCCCTGAAGGAGGGACTCAGAATTCTACTGGACATGTGACAGAGCAATCCGGCCGGCACTGGAGTGAGAGGAAACTCCAGGGAAGAATCCTTTAAGGCAAGGCTTATGGAATGAGTAGACAGGGCAGGTGTGGGGGAGAGTTTTCTAGATGGAAGAAATAACGTGTGCAAAGATCAAAGATGAAGGAATGCTGGCACCATGAACTGAAGCAAAGGGTCAGTGTGGCCAAGTGAGGACAAGGAAAGGGTGCTTTTTGAGTGATGAGGAAGAAGCTTATTGGATCCCACTAAGGATTTTATCTTTATCCCAAGAGCAATGGGAAGTTATTGATCAATCAAAATGGGAGAATGATCTTATATTTGCATTTTTGAAAGATTGATTTTTTTTTTGTTGAAAAGGCATGTTTACAAAGAGAAGGAGAGACAAAGATCTTTCACCTGCTAATTTACTTTCCAAATGGCCTGCATGGTCACAGCTGAGCTATTCTGAAGTCAAGAGCTTCTTTTGGGCTATCCTCTGCTGTTTCTCCAGGCCATAAGCAGGTAGTTGGACGGGAAGTGGAGCAGGTAGGACATGAATTGGTGCCCATATGGGATCCTTTTTTGTGTCATGCACAGACCCTTCAAAGAAACTAGATCACTGATTTTGGGGATTCTGAACACTCGCAGGATTGAAAGGAGTTTGACATAGGCACTGTTCACAAAGATATGTACAGGATTCAGGCAAAGCACCCTGGCACTAGTAAGAAACAGGAAACTGTTGCCTGGAGAGACAAAAGAAACCTAGGAAGAGCTATAGCTGTGTTGATTCCTGTTTGCCCAAAGTTATTGTGGTCTTGAGTAGAGAAATGCAGTTCCTGATAGAGAAATACATACCTCTACCTTTCTCTGTCTCTGATTTTTTGGCAATGCATCCCATTGGCCAAAGCCAGTAAAAGGTCATGAGATCATCCAGTGAAATCCATAGAGGTCAGCTTCTTGGACATAGGAGCAGGGCAGAGATGATGCAGCAACAAGGTGAACAGAATTTGATTAATAATCCTTAGAATCACCCCCCTGTCCATCCAAGGGCCCACACTTTGCTCATACGTGGCACAGGTCACACTGTCTTCTAGCTGTTTATTTTTAGTATTTGTTATGCTTATTGCACTGTGAACTCCCAAATAGCAGGATCTTTGACTCATCTGTCTCTGTAACTGTTTGCCTTCCCTTGTTCCTGGTGTCACAGCCATTTTTGTGGAACTGCAGATAGACAATATGGCAGAGGGGGCAGAGGCCAGCAGGGGCAGCTTGACACAGAACTTTCTGTTAATGAACACCACCCCCATGAATGGATGGATGGTGTCCCACAGGAGTGGACTAGGCCTTGTGGGACTCAGTTATCTCAAGTGAGAAGGGTTGTCAAAAGAGATCCTAGAATCCTGTCCCACATACACTCCTTTCTTGTGATTTGCCCACTTCAATGCCTTCGTCCAAGCTGAGCAGATGCAGGCACCATGCAATGGCTCAGTGGCTAAATCCTTGCCTTGCACATGCTGGGATCCTGTATGGATGTGCAGCTGCTTCACTTCCCATCTTGTCCCTGCTTGTGACCTGGGAAAACAGAAGAGGATGATCCAAAACCTTGGAACCCTGCACCTTCATGGGAGACCCAGAAGAATCTCCTGGCTCCTGGCTTCAGATTGGCTCAGCTCTGGCCATTGTAGCCATTTGGGGAGTGAACCAGTGGTTGGAAGATCTTTCTGTCTCTCCCCTCTGTAAATATGCCTTTCCAATATACATAAATAAATCTTTGGGAAAAAAACACTGTATACAAAATTAGCTGTACTATCCACTGAAGGCTATTGCTATGTCTTAACAGTCCTCTCCAAAACTTCTGTTCAAATGTAACTGCATTTGTAGTGGTATTAAGAGCTGGAGCCACGGAGTGGTGTTGTGGCTTGCAGGTAAAGTTATTTCCTGTGGCGCCAGCATCCCTTATGAGTGTCTGTTTGTATCCCAGCTGCTCCACTTCTGATCTGACTCCCTGCTGATGCACCTGGGAAAAGTAGCAGAGACAGCACAAGTGTTTGGGTCCCTGCCACCCACATAGGAAACCCAGGTGAAGCTCTTAGCTTCAGCCTAAGCCAAATATGGCCATTGCAATCATCTTGGGAGTGAACCAGTGGATGAAACACACACACACTCTCTCTTTTTTCTACTCTAACACTGCCTTTCAAATAAATAAATACATCTTTCTTAAAAAGAGGAGTCAGGAGAGCTGGAGTCATTTAGAGATGATAATGTCATGAGGCACCAATCCCATGAGTATATTAATGCCATTCTCAGGGGAGTGGGTTTGTTGTCTCTAGAGTGGGTTAGTGATAAAGGGATAAATTCAGACCTCTTGTCACTTTTCACTGTGTCTCACACCTGCTTCCTCAACATGTGTCGCTTTCCACTGTGTTTTGATGTAAAATGAGGGTTCTTGCCATATACTTGTGTCACATTCTTGGGCTTCTCAGCTTACAGAACTGTAAGAAATCAGTCTGTTCTTAATCAACTTCTCAGTCTCAGGCATGCACTGGTAGCAGCAGAAAGCTGACTAAGAGCACTGATACCGAGACGTGAGACTGTTTGGATCACAAATACCTGAAAAGGGAGTTGTGGCTTTGGAATGAGGTAGTAGGTAGAAGTTGGAAGAATTTAAAGAAGTCTAGAAAAAACAAATCTGTCTACAGCCATGCCACCCTGAACGTGGCCAATCTCGTCTGATCTTGGGAGCTAAGCAGGATTGGGCCTGGTTAGTACTTGGATGGGAGAAAAAAACAAATCATAGTTGCTATGAGTGGAGCATTAAGGGTGACTCAGAAAAGAAGGGAAGATCTGAAGCTTAAGGTTTACTTAAGTGGTTAGAACTGGACTGCTGGAAGAAAAATGGCCATTCAGATGTGAATAGATAATACAGTATTGGAAAATGGAGTAAAGGCCATATTTGACCAACAGTTACAAAGAACTTGATGGGATGGTGTTCATGTGTTAGGAATTTTGTCAAATGAAGAACACTAAGACAGTGAGCTATATATCTGGTGGAGGAATTGTCCAAGTGGCCAAGACTGAGGCTGTTGTGTAGCTTCTTTGATCTGCATAAACAGACATGTGAGAGCAGAGATGACTTTAACATAGAATTTGTAACAAAAAGAGAGACAACACAACAAAAATTTAGAAAATTAGAAGCCTGGCCATACAAAAAGTGAAGAAGCATGTTCAGAGAAAAGTGTGTGCTTAAGTGATCTAGATTTATGTGACTAGAAGGGAACCAGGTGTTATTTATCAGGGCTGTGGAAGAAAAGACCCCCAAAATATTAGGAAATGTTAGAAGCTGCATACCCTCACAGGCCCAGAGAACTAGAATGGCTGAGTGGTTTTAGGAGGCAGGTTTGGGTGCCCTTCATGAGCACTCTGCTCAGGGCTACCTTGGCTCTTACTCCCCACATTAGGGCCCAGAGCCATACAGTTGTGGCTCAGGTGGTCCCAGGTGCTGCTCAGCCTGTAACCAAAAATGCAAGCAGAAAGCTCTCATGGTGACTACCTGGTGTTAAATGTTCAGGCTGAGCATAAGAACTCTGGAGGTATGGCTACTTTCACTTTGCTATCAGAGTATGTCCCAGCCAGATTGTCACCATAGTTGGGCTCTGCTAGACTAATGCATACTGGAGTCACGGGACTGGGCCTGCCCCTTGAGACCACAGAACTACAAGTGTGAGAGAGCTATTGTACTGGTTGAGTTCAGCAAAACCACAAGGGCAGGGATGCCCAAAGCTTTAGGGGAGCCCACCCTCCATTGTGTTCTGGAGTGTCTGGAGCTTTAAGTGTCCAGTGTGTCCTAGAGGCAGTGCATGTATAAAAGATCTAGAGTTTTGAGACTTACTTATACTTCCCTTTTTGGGTTTTGGACTTGCCAGGATGAGTTATACTTCTGGAGTAAGAACATATATCCTGTGCAGATCC